TTTAGAGCTTTGGGATTTCAGGATTTAGGGTTCAGGGTTTAGAGTTTAAAGTTTCAGGATTTAGGGTTAGGGTTAGGGTTTAGGGGTTTAGAATTTAGAGTTTAGGGTTTAGGGTTTAGGGTTTCAGGATTTGGGTTTCGGGATTGAGGGTTTTGGGTTTCAGGATTTAGGGGTTTAGGGTTTTAGGGTTTCAGGATTTAGGGCTTTAGGGTTTAGGGTTTCAGGATTTAGGGTTTAGGGTTTAGGGTTTCAGGATTTAGAGTTTAGGGTTTAGGGGTTTCGGGATTGAGGTTTAAGGTGGGGTTTCGGGACTAGGGTTTGGGGGCTTAAGCATTTAAATGTAGGGCTTAGGGTGTAGGAGTTTAAGGATTTAGGGTTTAGGGGTTTAGGATTTGGGGTTTAGAGTTTGGGGTCGAGGGTCGCGATCCCCTAAGGGCTGTATAGGAGGCTTCACAGGGCTTGGCATTTACGGTTTCAGGATTTCGGGTTTTGGTGTTTAGGGTTTAGGATTTAGGGTTTATTCGGTTTAGGATTCAGGGTTTCAAGGTCGAGGAATCCTGAAAGGGCTTATGATGGCATGGAAGAGGTCTACAACAGGGCTTGGGGTTTCGGATTTAGGGTTTAAATTTTGGGTGCCGGTGCTGTGGACATGCGTTTGGTCGTCTCGTGCACCGGGCGCAGGATGGCGATGTAGGCAAGAATTTTTGGCGTTTGAGGTAGCGGCGCTTCGTAGCCCTCGAAGCCCAAAACTCTTGCCACAGCGATACGAAGCATGAAACTTCATGCCTCTAACACGAAAACCGAAACGCGACACAAACCCTTCCTGCCTACACCCTAAACACCTAAGCCCTATAGGCTTTAAGCCCCTAAACCCTAATCCTTCACCATCCGTCTACTTGGAGGATCATGGGACTTAGTAACTAGGGTTATAAGTACGGTAACTATAATTATAACACCAATTAGGGTACTTATAACCGTACTTACTAGGTCCCATGATCCTCCAAGTAAACCCTTAACCCTAAACCCTAAACCCTAAAACCCTAAAGCCCTACAGCCCTAAAGCCGTAAACCCTAAAACCCTAAACCCTAAAACCCTACAGCCCTAAACCTTTCTTACGAAGTCTCATGATCCTCCAAGTACCACAAAAGTGGCCACTTCCTCGAAGGCATAAACCCTAAACACCTAAGCCCTAAAACCCCTAAACCCTAAACCCTAAACCCTAAACCCTAAACCCTAAACCCTAAACCCTAAACCTTAAGCCCTAAGCCCTAAGCCCTAAGCCCCTAAACCCTAATCCCTCACCATCCTTCTACCACCAAAAGTGGCCACTTCCTCGAAGGCAGAGGGCATCCTTGGGAAGCTCCTCACACTGGGACGAGAGTGACTGGGACCGTCGGGGTTTAGGGTTTTGGGGGTTTAAGGGTTTAGGGTTTAGGGTTTAGGTTTTAGGGTTAAGGGTTCGGGGTTTAGGGGTTTAGGGGTTTAGGGATTAAGATTTGGGT